GTTGGAAGAAGTCTTGTAAGAGCATTAGGACATGTTTATGCTAAGCTGAATTTTATTTTATTTTATTTTTGCTAAGTTGAATTTTAAAAGACAAAAGCCTATATATATAGTCTGATCATTAACACATTTTAAAAATTTCTTAGTCTGTATGAGCACCCACACATACAGGGTCACCTAGAAAGGGGGCCAGGAGAGTGTGTGTACACGCGTGTCTGTAAATAACAGCAGTGTTGACCAGCAGTGGAATTATTCTTACCTTCGGTATACTGTTCTGCATTTTCCAGATATTCTGCAATGAACAGGTGTTACTTCTATAACCGGAGAAAAGATATCTCCCTCTTCAAGAGTGGAGGATGGGGGAAGCAGGTGGAGTCACGGGGATGAGCTAGGAGCTGTGGCCTTGGAAGTGAGAATGAAAGGCAGCAGGAAGATTCCAGAGGCTGGGGTGGAAGGAATGTCAGAAGTGTGGTAGCCAGCCTCCTGAAGGGCCCCGAGAGTCTTGCCTCCTGAGAGTCACACCCTTACATAGTCCCTTCCGCCCTGAAAAGAGCTGACCTGTGGGACACCGCAGAAGTGACAGTGCGTGATTTCTGACCCTCGGCCATAAAAGATATTGACAGAGCCAGAAAATAGGAAATAGAGTAGATGTTATGAGGGGCTTTGAGAGGGGAGCCCGTGGGATGATCAAGTCTGGAGAAGGATGGTAGTGATAGCAGCAAAACAAGTGCATGTACTTAATACCACTGAACTGTAGAGCTGAACGTGGCTAGAACGGTAAATTTGATATCTCATCACAACATTTTCTTAATATGAAAAGGCACTGCAGGGCTCTGCTCTGGCCTTTCTCGGGTCACCTGTCCCTGGGGGAGCCAGCTGCCGTGTCATGGGGACCCTGAGGAGCCTACTGCAGGGGTCCCGCAGAGGAGGAGCCCCACGCCCCCTCCACCGGCAGTACTAACCGGCCAGGCAAGCAGGTGAGCCCCCAGAAAGCCGATCCTCCAGCCCCAGGCGAGCCTTCAGCTGGAGACAGAAATCTACCATGTGATAATACTGTTTTAACCCACTCAGTTTGGGAGCAATTTTTTAATCCAGTAATAGATAATTAATGCCTAGAAAGAGGTACTGGTTTGAGCCGTCGCATTCCCTTTCGGGGTTTAAGCCACCCTCTTGTTTTCCTAGCTTCCACTTAGGATTTTGAAGGTTGGAGCGAGCTGAGTTCCCACTGTGACGACAAACACACCAGGTAATATGCAGAATCATTTTTTTCTCAAACACATCAGGAGCTCAGATTCCCCAGTAGGGCCCAGCAGGGGAAGGGAGGGCTTCCCTGGTAGCTCAGGGCGTAAAGAATCCATCAGCTAAAGATCCCTGGGTCGGGAAGGTCCCCTGGAGAAGGGATAGGCTGCCCACTCCAGTCTTCTTGGGTTCCCTGGTGGCGCAGACGGTAAAAATCCACCTGCCATGCAGGAGACCTGGGTCTGATTCCTGGGTTGGGAAGGTCCCCTGGAGGAGGGCATGGCAACCCACTCCAGTATTCTTGCCTGGAGGATCCCATGGACAGAGAAGCCTGGTGGGCTCCCGTCCATGGGGTCGCAGAGAGTCGGACACGACTGAGCGACTTAGCACAGCACCTGGAGAGGCAGCGAGGAGGAGGGTCTCACTCTTGTCTTCATCAGATCCACGCAGCAAGCGGCCTGGCCGTGTCTGCTCCCCGCAGGCCCATCTCTGTGCTCCCTCACTGGTCTCTTTTTGCTTTTCCAGGCCCTCCAATAACACCTCTCTAACCAAGTCCCTAAACTCCATCTTCAAATCAGCGCGAGGCCTCTGTTTTCCTACCTGGCCCTCATCTGATGGAGCGCCCCGACTCAGCTCAGTCTCTTTTGGGGGCATGGATAGATGAGGCGGAGTGCCTGCCTGTCCGGATAACCTTGCAGCAGCCCCCCTTGCTGACCCATCTCCTCCCTCCCACCTGTGGTCAGGCCCACCGTCTTCCTTGTGACCCCCCGGCCCCCCAACGTGGCACTTTTCTTCCTCTCTCCACACCTTCTGAGCCCAACTTGACTAAAATCAGGCCACAGGAAAATGAGGCATCTCAGCATTTGAGGACGCACTGCAAAGAAGGAAGGATTCGAATTTTCTTTTGCGTCCTACTTTGGAGAAAACAACACAATTTGAAAAAAAATGATTCATGCCTAGGCTGACTTCCATTACTCTATCTTTTTTTCTTAGTGATGTTTTCACTCTGGTGGAAAAGTTGCTAGACAAGGAAGAGAAACCCAGGAAGTTGGTCGCACTTCTTTCCTCTTCCCTTTTTTAGCTCTTAAGTTATCCTGGTGGATTGACCTACTTCTCCTCCTCACTTAGAAGAGGAAGAATGCTGAAAAGATGAGGCAGCAACATGCATATGTACACACATGGTCTGCAAAATAACTTCCCTACCTGAAATAATAATACCGAAACTGCCAATAATATACTAAAAAAAATTCCAGGATGTCTTCACTGAATTGGTCTTGAGAAATAACAGAAACTTCACTCCCTACAGACTTATTATTTATGAACTAGGACTAGGAGTGAGAAAATGAGAACCTATATACCACCTGAAGACGATCCTAGACCCTCCAACCAAAAAATATTTTCCAGAAATAAAACAATAAACAAGACGACTCCAGGTGGCCATGGCTTGCTTAGACGGTGTACCGCGTAGACACAGGCTGATGGCCCTCAAGGAGCAAACACTGCTTGGAGGATGAAAACAATTTTAGATGTCACAAGAGTTTGTGGTCTGCTCCAAAAGGTTTCCATACACAAACAGCTATGCAGTATATCTGGGCTATTAAACTTTCATGAACGGGTAATATTTAGGAAACAAAGTGTTGACAACGCTGTTTGTGGGCTGGAAAGAGGACACCAATGAAAAAAGGACAGAGAAACGCAGATCTAGGTAAAAATCATACACACTTGCTATATTTGTTTTTTTGGCTTGAACAATCCCATCAGTGTTACATATTCCTCCAGATTTCTAACAAATCAGCAGAAATGTCACTTTTTCTTCAATAAGCAGAGTCAGGAACGCAATCCAGAGGAGAATTTACAGCCAACTAAACCTCAGTTCAAAGTGCTTTTATTAAAATAAAAGAGGAGCATCAACACTCTAGACGAACGACTCCATTCATGTGTCAACATGCATGCACTTTAGCTAATGCTGAACACCTCAGACTGTGACCATGTCTGCCCCCGCCACACACAGCGTTTGCAGCCACCCCACCCCCTCCAGGTCAGCCCAGGCTCCCTCTGTGCACTGCCCACGGTCACACATCACAGGGGAGGGCGACACCCCGTCACTGAAACAGGAGACAGATGGGCCCCCGGCCGAACTGCCAGAGTTTGTCTCGTGTGGACAGACGCTCCCAAGACGAGGAGCGAGAGAACTGAGTCCTGCTGCCCAGACAGGAGATAAGAGACCACACGCTCCTCATTCTCGGAGTCCAGACGGCCTTCCTGACTACACATGTGCAGAGAGGCTCCTTGGAGGTCAAAAAGGGAGGGGGGGTCACCTCATGGTGAGTCAGGTCAACTACCCAGAGGCCTCCTCGCTAGAATCCATCTTGGCTGAGAGATGTGTGCACACATGGAGGACCCTGAGATAAACCAAAAACGACTCAGAACCAGGCAAGCAGGACGACTGACCAGAGGAAACCCGGGGGAAATGCTCCACACGTTGCTGTTGTTCAGTCGTGTCTGACTCTGTGGCCCCAGGGACTGCTGCACGTCGGGCTTCCCTGTCTCTCACTACTTCCCAGAGCTTGCTCAGACGCACATGCATGGAGTCAGTGATGCCATCCAACCAGCTCATCCTCTGTCGCCCCCTTCTCCTGCCTTCAATCTTTCAAGTGATTCAAACTACCAAAAGGGCACAGCTTGGAGCCCACTTGTGTGTGTATCCACACGTAGCCTTTTTCCTCCTAACAGACACTTTACCTGTTTCACTGCTTCCTCTGTCTCTATGGAGATACATTTCTACACAGCTGACGGGCCAGGGCCTTATCACCGGCCCCTGGTCCCTGGGGCTCTAGCAGCGGGGATTCGGGGCTCTCGCCACTGCACCCTAAGTTCAGTCTCTGGCCAGGAACTGAAAACCAGCTCCAAGCCTCCACAGGCTGGGGCCACCCGAGATCATCGCCTCCACGCCCAGACTGCGGGGGATGCACAGAGCAAGCGGCCGCCGCTCTATTCTGACCACGTGTAAGTGCGCCTCTGCCTGATAAGTTATCCTCTCATCTGCCCAGCCCACATCCTCTCACGTGACACTTCTGTAACCAAAGCGTGACCTGTTCTCTCCACAGCCCTCACGCCCAGTTACTAATGACACCATTCTACCAGCTGGGCTAGTGCTTTTTCAGACATCTGCGGTGGGTGCAGAGGCCGAACACACAGTCTACTCAGATAATCACACGTGCTCACTTCAGAGTCCCCAGAATCTGCTAAATTCTAACACAATTCTCTCACCGTGGTCTTCAGTGATTCATTCCATCACTTTGATCAGTTATCATGAACAAGGTTTGGGGCTGTAAGGAGCTAACAGGATTTTAAAAGCAGAGTGTCTGCTGATGGAGAGAAAGAAGGGCATCAGTGATGATATAATACAGGGCACTTTTAACAGTTATGGAGGAGATGCATAAGCCGGTGTTCAGGAGGAAGGAGGCATCACTCCCCGGGCAGAGGTCGGGGAACTTCACGGAGAACAGGCAGGTGCTAGCGGGGTTAGAGCTGGCTTAAGTGCGGGTACAGAAGGAAGCCCCACACGCAAAGGTGGTGGACCACATGAGCTGAGGGCCAGACAGGAACGTTCAGACCAAAGGGACAGCAGGACCAGCCAGATAGAAGCCCATATACCACACATGTTAACCACATGTTAAGTTTTGCATAGTCAAAATCTTACCACCAAATATTTTTAAACTGGGAATACATTTCACTTTAGCAAACATTTTAAGAGCATTTACCTTCAGCTGGAAATTTCTTGGCTCGTTCCTCGAAGAACCAGTCTCCAGTTTTTATTTTCACATTTCTGAAAAACAAGCAGAAAGGAAGGCTCAGAGAGCGACGTGGGTGGTGCTGTATTTGGCTCATACCAAGTAGGGAGATAATATCAAAATATTAGTCTAGCAAAAGAGCTCAGAGTTCAAATTTCTGGCCCAGATCCCTAACTATACAGATTTCCCATAGAGGTTAAGTGATTTGACTGGAAAGCAGCAAAGCTACAAAAGGAATATTATATTCCTATTCTGAAAAGGAATATTATATATCAAACTAAATCACTTTACTATACACCTGAAACAATCAACTATACATCAATAAAAATAAAAATAAGTAAAATAAATAAAAAGATAATATTGAAACGAGCTACAAAGCTGGATTTTCTACTTGGGTACATTTTACCCTGTAAGTCCATGTAATACATACATATTAACATATGTGTTTAACACATACACAATAAATATATAGGGAGAAACAAAATCGCCATCAAAATGACAAGTTTATCACACTTACGGTGGGGAACAATGGCATGAAGGATAATCAGAGAAATTCAATGTTGTCTATTCAGCTAAGCGAGATCACCCTTGGGTTACAGTGAAGTTAGAGTTAACTACAACATTTACCAAGAGCCAGCAGCGTGGATTCACCTGAGAAGGTTCCTGGGGGGACCTGATGTCTGGGACATGGGATCAAAGGGCTTCACTGGGGATCCGGGGGCCACGTGAGAGGCAGCGGAAGTGACCTCTCGCTGGGCAGCCAGTCTGATGGCAGATCTCTGGACATGTCTACATCCCTACATCCCCTCCTGTCCTACACCCCTACATCCCCTCCTGTCCTACACACAGGCAGAGCAGTGCGGGAACCTTGTGTGGCCACTGCTCAAAACTGAAGTCCCAAAGCATGTTAGCTCCCAGAGCATGTTAGCTCTTAATAGCTTCCAATTTCCAAACTTCTGAAAAAACTACCCTCATAGAGCCTCAAAACTACTTCATAGAGCGTCAGAAAGGCAGAATTGTCAATAGCCTTTCACAATATAAGAAGTTAAACATACAGACACTATAAATTATTGACACAATTAAAATCATCTGCTATTAAAAAAAGAATAAATTCCTAGGTTATGCAAGTTTAAGAAAAATTAAAACTTCAACTTCTGTCAAATTCTCTTCTGCAAAGTATACTTTCTGAAATACATTCCTCATTAGGTTCTTTCAGGCTATAGATGAACTCAAATGGATTGTTTTAAATTAATGTTTATAAATGCAGTCAGTTCACAAATATATGCCAATCTACATTTTTTAAGTATCCTATCTTTCTCTGTGGGATTTTAATAGCTGTCAGAAGACATCAACCAACTTCCTCCCCTTCTTGTTAGCAACTATTATATTCTCTGATTAAGATGCAAATGATTATTCCCAATGTTGAGTGACTAGAATAAGGAAAATGTACACAGAGCATGTATGAATTATGGCAACGGAATTTTGATAGTCAGTTGCTATCATTCAGAGCCAAAAACGTATGAAACATGCAACTGTGACACATCTTGAGAGAGAAGGGGAAACATTTTCACCCATAAACCAGAAATTCAGATATCTAATCTACTAAATCGACACAAAACATGTGAAGGAGAACATAGCAACTCCACAGAAGTTTCCCCTCTGGTACTTAAGACAAGCAGAGGGTCAAAACACAGGGAAAGTTCCTAGGGATAATCGGGGTGGTGAATTCAATTGCTCTATTTCTGAGGATGCTTCCTCCATCCTTATAGGCAGGACAAAGTCTAAGCATTAGGATGAGGACAGCAGGAGAGAGAAATCAAATGTGGAAACAAAGAGGCCTCCCTCTGATGAATAAACTTCACTTCCTGACTTGTCGTGAGAGTTGTACTATAAAGAAAGCTGAGTGCCGAAGAATTGATGCTTTGAACTGTGGTGTTGAAGACTCTTGAGAGTCCTTTGGGCTGCAAGGAGATCCAACCAGTCCATCCTAAAGGAAATCAGTCCTGGGTGTTCATTGGAAGGACTGATGCTGTAGCTGAAACTCCAATACTTTGGCCACCTGATGCGAAGAACTGACTCATTGGAAAAGACCCTGATGCTGGGAGGGATTGAAGGTCGGAGGAGAAGAGGATGACAGAGGATGAGATGGTTGGATGGCATCACCGACTCAGTGAACATGAGTTTGAGTAAACTCCGGGAGTTGGTGACGGACAGGGAGGCCTGGCGTGCTGCAGTCCATGAGGTCGCAAAGAGTCGGACACGACTGAGCTACTGAACTGAACCTGATTTGTCTTCCTGGGGGTCGTGACCCTTCCAAATCATCTAACTCTCTCAAATTCTCCAGCCTGTTACCTGTGACCAAAAACATTTATATATGAGACAGGTGCTGTGGGTGGGGCAAGGGCTCAGACCAGACAAGAAATCAGAGCTGAGATTTCTGCAACAACTCAGTCCATGACTCTATAGGCAGCTGAGCCAGCCATACACAAGCTGTCACTGAGGAGTAAACACACCTGTACATACACAATCACGAAAAAAGGAAGAACAGCTGAGGGGACAGGAGCAAAAGGTGAAAATGCCCAAATAAACATTTTTATTTTATTACATTTTATAGCATTTTATTAAAAAGTCTTCCTCTAGCTGTGGTTTCAGAACCTATACAAGCAGATAAAGTAAAATACTAGTATATTCTAGTGCTAGGCATCTGATGCAACCAACTAATCCTCTTACAGGATCCCAATGGATTAGTTGTGAAACTCAAGCATGAGCTTCCTTGACAGGGATAGATTTGGACACAAGCCCACAGGTCTCTTGGGTTATCTGTGACTAAAGAATAGAAGGATAGAAGTACCACAGTCCTAAACCTTACAACAACAAGCGTTTGTTGCATTTGAGGCTATTTCCTTTGAGAACTAGACTGCAGCCCTATCTCCACAAACACTTTCTGCAGAATCAGCTGTTTCGTGAACAATTATTCCCTGGTAGCTTTCAAAATGGCTTCCCGTTTTGAAATCCCAGGCTTTATAAGGAGGACCATTTATGGGTCTTATTGTCTAAGACAGAGGTGAGCAAATCTTGCTATGTCTCTGTCTTCATTAAGGCCAGCTCAGCGTAGCCTGACTCACAGGAACCAAAGGAATTTCTCCCCCAGTGACTCGGTCAGAATTTGGCTATGAAAACTTCTTGGAACATTTTCAGAGCCCAGCAAGAGATTAACAGTTTTAAATTTCTCTGGTAGAAATGCAAATCAAAACCACAATGAGGTACCATTACACACCAGTCAGGATGGCTGCTATCCAAAAGTCTACAAGCAATAAATGCTGGAGAGGGTGTGGAGAAAAGGGAACCCTCTTACACTGTTGGTGGGAATGCAAATTAGTACAGCCACTATGGAAAACAGTGTGGAGATTTCTTAAAAAGCTGGAAATAGAACTGCCATATGACCCAGCAATCCCACTTCTGGGCATACACACCGAGGAAACCAGATCTGAAAGAGACACGTGCACCCCAATGTTCATCGCAGCACTGTTTATAATAGCCAGGACATGGAAGCAACCTAGATGCCCATCAGCAGACGAATGGATGAGGAAGCTGTGGTACATATACACCATGGAATATTACTCAGCCATTAAAAAGAATTCATTTGAATCAGTTCTAATGAGATGGATGAAACTGGAGCCCATTATACAGAGCGAAGTAAGCCAGAAAGATAAAGACCATTACAGTATACTAACACATATATATGGAATTTAGAAAGATGGTAACGATAACCCTATGTGCAAAACAGAAAAAGAGACTCCTATGTATAGAACAGACTTGTGGACTCTGGGAGAAGGCGAGGGTGGGATGTTTCAAGAGAACAGCATTGAAACACGTATATTATCTAGGATGAAACAGTTCACCAGCCCAGGTTGGGTGCATGAGACAAGTGCTCGGGCCTGGTGCACTGGGAAGACCCAGAGGGATTGGGTGGAGAGGGAGGTGGGAGGGGGGACCGGGATGGGGAATACATGTAAAAAAAAAAAAAAAAAATGAACTATTTTCAACAATGGAAAAAAAAATAAATAAACATATTGTAAACAGTTTAAAAATAAATAAATAAATTTCTCTGGTAGAATCGCAACTTGCTTCTTTAAAACTCTTTCAGCCAATTGATAAATACATCTCAGAAAGCAAAATCCAGGGGTGGTGGAGGGAACAAAAAGTCTAGAGTCAGAGACCTCAGTTCCATGTCTGACTTTCCACTCACTCTGCAGGGGGATCACTGTAATTATAAACACCAAGCACGTGGCACCACTCTTAATAAACTGCTGGAGGTTCCAGCATCCATTTTCATAGCCTTGAACTCCACTAATGCTGCCATTTCATTAGCAAAAGAGAAAACTGCTGAAAGGCACTTTGCAAATTCTAGCATGCAAGTGTTCAATGATGCGGTGAGCAGGGAACCCTAATGGAAAGGTAGTTTGACCTTATCACTACCGGCAAGCTGTGAGCCAAACAGGCCTGCGAGACTGCATCTTTACTTTGCATTCAAATTACTCGCACCTGCAGGTCGGTAAGCTGTCACATCCACACTTTATAGTCCAAGAGAAGTCAGCATGATGTCCCCAGAAATTGCTAAAGGTATGTCCACCATTCGGCGAACAAGAGGTAGAAAATTTGTCTGCATGCCAGGATTCTTCCAATGCCTTAAGACATACCCTTCCCAGGCAGACCTGCTCTCTAACCAGCACCCTGATGGCAAGGAAGCTTCAAGAAAGTTTTGGTGGCTTACCGGACAGACAAGCTACAAAAACTCTAAACGAAGACGCCAAATAATGTAAACCAAGCATCAACTTAATTTCTTTGTACTAACCACTTGATAATTCCCAGCTAAAATGGTCTTTATGCACCCATACAGTTGAAAAAAATTTTTTTCTACTTCAAATAATCTTATATCTAAGGCAGTTTTAGTTACAAAGCAAAATAATGAGGTGTTTTTTTTTCTTTCTACCAACCAGCTCAGTTGATCTGATTTCAATGTTCTTACAGGAAA